TTAAATTTTTACCAAATAATCAAGAATGAGATTATCAAAAGCAAAGCCACCTAAGTCTTAGCCATATTGTATAGTAGAATTATATTTACTTTTTGATTGATCAATTATCATCGTTTATTTCGTAAAAAATAGTTTATAAATTTCAGTTACAAGAAAAATTATGTTCCCTGTTCCTATACTGAAAAAGGTAAAAGAATTTTAGTGGGACGTGAACACAAATATCTAAACTAAATAGCATAAATAATTTATTATAACATAATATAATACGAGAAATCATAAAACAATAAGTAACAACTATTCAATTTTAAATTATTAGCCATTATCCGCAAGTTCACCAACCAATAAAACATTTGGGTCTATTCCAAGTTTGCATTCCATATCCGCTATTAGAGGCGGATTTATACGTGAAAGCACGACTTAGTGTAATAAATTAATTTTAACTCAAATTTTATAATATAAAATTATAAAATTTATTTAATATTTATAAAAATATTTATTAATAAACTTACTAAATGAAAAAATTATAATTTAAAATTCTTGATTTGCTTCTATCATATATTTACAAATAATTAATTAATTTAAATTCACGTAAATTAGATTATAAAAAAATAAAGTACTCTAGATTCCTCCTTTTAATTATACTCGCACCGATTTTGTTTATTTTTTTTAAATCATATCTTATGATGACAATTTAATCATATTGTTATAATAATTTATTTAGAGAAAACAAGACACATATCGACATGTTTAACCACAAACTAATTAGAGTACTACTAATTATCAGAAGACTTATCCATTAATCTTATATAATACATATTTCAAGTGTACAAATTGTACCTAAATTCTCAATCATTTACTTCTTGAAGACTTGTTCATAATAATAAACTTTTTGATTGTTTTTTTTCCTTGTCGTTCTAGAGGGTATAGATTTTTATAATATTGTCGAGAATCAGACAATTTCTTCTTATACAAGTTTTATTAGTACAGTAATTAATTATTCTTGTGTACAAGAAATAGGAAATTCATAATAAAGCGATTCTCTAAATAAAGAGTCCGGCCGAGAAATTGCTGCAATTTTATCGTTTTAGTTAATATAAAATTTTATATACTGTTTTGAAATTTTTATTAATATATTATACCCTTTAGGCTCCGGACTCCTGAATTATTATACTTGGGGCTGAGCCAAATCTTACTAGTTTTTTTTTTTTTTTTAGTATCTAATAATTTTATCAAATAAAAAATATACTATCTTTTAAAATATTTTTCATGCATCAATTTGAATTATATATTCGTCTGGTTCTAGATGCATGAACTGAATTGAATGAGTTAAAATAGACTGAATCAATAAATAAATAGGTCATGGTTCGCTCCAACGTGATCAAATTGAATGTATCATATTTTTACGGACTAATTTTATCATTTCTAATTTACTCGCTAATTTCATGATCTAATCAACACTAGACTATTGTCTCTGTTTATTTTTAATTTGTTCAGTTTAAACTTTACATATTTTTACTGAAATAATTATTAATTTAAGTATTTTATCACAACATATAAAGATTTCTTTTGCAACTTGCAAGTAAGAGGAAGATTTTTCTTGATGTATTTAGTTTCTCTAATTAGCATCATAAAAGTTTACTATTAGTAGGTTTCTAGAAGTACTGCAAAAGTCTATCAAGATTTAATTTCTTCTTAGGGTTAATTAGCTTTTTATATCCTTTTCATATATAATAATAAAAATGTAATATTAAGACTTTAGGAGAAGTTCTAGAAACAAAAAGAAATACTGCTGAAGTAGGATATAGTATATAGTATATTCATTTTTCAAAAGGGTAATATATCGAATTAATTAATTAGGTTATTGACTACAACTTGCCTTAGGAGTAAAAGCTCCTATAGGCTTGAATTTTAGGAAAATAATCTATATATATATATATATAGGAACGTGGAGTAACTATTCTACTAAAAAGAAATATTTTGTCAAAATTATTAAATTCACTTAAACTCGTAATTAAAATTTTATCTCAATTATAAAAATTTGACAAATGCCTAATAGATATAATACGTAAAAACTAATACGATCCGTATACTTTAGTACAAACCAGTAGGGTACTTTAGCAGGCAATTTTGATATTTGTTGGAGCAAATAAAAAACATATATAGTGCCAAAAACATTATATTATATTCATTAATAAATCAGTGTCCTAATCATATGGCCAAAAGCTTCCACTATATTTTGGTTTAAAAAAAAAGTGCAAAGTGCATGTCTAGTGTCTACTCTTTATCATAATTTTGAACTAATAGATCCAAAGTAATCACTTCATACATATATTTTTTCTTCTATATTTCGATAAATAATAAAATTGTTAAATATTTCGATTTAATCAATTATAATTTTAGAGGGGTCAGATTATAGATAAGTTGAACTAAATTTAAACAGATTAAAAAAGAATTGAGTTGATAAATTATCTTCATAATATTTTCTCTCAAAATTATGTGTATATATACACTATAACTGTCGCTGCTTATATGATTGGTTCCTTTTTGTCACTATTACAAAATGAAAAAAAGCTTTGGATAGTTAAATATATATTTTAAAGCGACAATTTAAATTGAAAAAAAAAGATATTTGAAGAACATGAAATATAGATAATAACATAAATAGAAGGATAAGAAATTACCAAAGTAAAACAATAATACTAAGGCGACCAGGGGGTGATCACTCGGTTCCGTGAACCCATGTTCCCATCTCAAGATCGTATATAATACTGTAATATTTTTGTGTGAAAAATATTGAAATATAGATATGTGAACCGACATTTAAAGTATCATATGATGTAATGATGATTGAGTGCACCTCTCTACCTACGGTTAGAAATTTGAATTTTATATTTATCTTGTTTCAATTTTCGTTCTAAAATTAGACAACACATGTCTAAGGGGTTATGAACCTACAATTTTAAAATTTTTACAATTTTCAAACAAGAACTTAAATATCATATTGATCAAATTTATATCTTAGATCAACCTTTTTTATAATAGTGCACTCATTATTTTAAAATCCTAAGTACGTACTAATACTTTTGACAACGCTCGATTATCTAAGAAAAATAGGAGGAATCTAACAGGTAGGACATGTGAAACAACTTTGTTAGGGGCCATTATCACATCTTTTCTTGTAGTCACAACTCATCACGCAAAAGCTAAAATCCTAATAGCAACTTCTTGGAAACCTAACCAAATTTCTCAAAATAGCTCTATATTTTTTAAATGCTCATTTAATTTATCTATGTAAAAAGTTATTTAATTATTTAATAAAAAGCTACTTAACTAATGGGTGGATAATTTGATCACAACTTTTATTTAGGTTATGTGGTCCATTCTAGTTAGAGCTTGTTTGGTTCAACTTAAAAGCTGGTCAAACTAACTTAAAAACTAATTTTTGACTTATTTAGTTGTTTGGCAATCCTCAAAATAACTTATTTTAAGTTTAAAAAAAAAACTTATTTTAAGCCAAAAGTTAAAAGCTGGGGTAGGAGTGTTTTTCTTTTTCCAACTTATAAGCTGTTTTAAGTTGACCACATTTTTACCTTTTTACCCTTAATATTTTTATACAATCTCCAAATTACCCGCATAACCCTAACATCTCTTTCTTCTATTTTTCCCTTTTCACGTGTGGATGATAGACAATTACTATTACTAATGAATGAAAATAAAATAAATCTTAAATCTTTCAAGTGATCTATGCAAATTATATATTATTAAAATGTAAAATAAGTTGCACATATAACTTAAATAAAAATTTATATTCCTCTTATAAATAATTTGTGATAATAAAGAAATATGTGAATGATAGACTATTATTATTACCTATGGATGAAATTAAAATAAAATCTTAAATCGTTCTTTGATCTATTCAAATTATATATCTTTAAAATCTATAATAAGTTTATATTCCTCTTATAAATAATTTGTGATGAGAAAGAAATATGTGAATGATAGCAAAATATAATTATTTATGGCTATAAAATATAAATTAATTAACTTTTATTATGTTAACAACTTTTAAGGGTATTTCAGACATTTTGATTTAAAAACTGTTTATCAGCACTTATTTGTCAAACACCTCAACAACTTTTTTTTAACTTCAGCACTTTTATCCAAACGCATAACTGCTTATTTTAAAAATAAGTTTCAGCATTTTCAAAAGTACTTTTTTAAAGCTGCTTTTATTAAGCCCATCCAAACGGGCCCTTAGTTTTCAATTGGAAAAAAGTGGCCTATTTGGTAAGATTTATTGTTTTCTTTTTTTTGTTTAGAAATATGGTGACTTCATTTTAAAAAATAATAAATTAAATACTTGCACTAGATAATTTTTGATAATAGAAATAATGCCTACCAGTGAATTAGTCAGTATCATGAAGTTTCAAATTCTAACATATATAGAATAACTTTAACAACCACTTCAATGACCTCATGTATAAAAATCAAGTTGATGTGTACACATTTCTTATTCTTTATCTTGTTATTTGCTTTTTGTGCCTTTGTTTGCAATCTGAATTAGTAATAATATATCAATATATATTATTTTTAGTCATAAGTTAGAATTAATAAAGAAAAAGAAAGTTAAAAAAAGAAGCTCTATTTACTGATATAACATGTGAACTTCCTAGCTACAAAGTATATAATGACAAGGATAAGATTCTTATGAGGTGCCTGTAGATAATTTTGAAGTTTGTTCTACTTTTGAGCAATTGATATGTGCCTTTCACCAAAACATAGGGCCCCATGATTCATGTTATTGGAGCACTTCTTCTTTCCTTTTTTATGAGGTCAGGCCAATTTATGCATTACCTCGACTAAATATCTGACAATTTCGTCCATCAAAGCTAAGACAGACAGACAAAAATCATGGATGACCGAATAAGTATTCTCAACCGACTACATTTGACCACTAGGCCACACTTTGATTTATTAGAATACTTTTTGTATCCACCAAATTACTGAACATGAATTATGTTATTCACATAATCTAACCTTTATTCAAACTGTAGAATTATATAAATACAATTCTTAAGTCTGCAGCCAGTTTAGAGTGTGTAATGAATAGACAACCATATACCAAAAAGTTGATAAATGTAACTTGGGGGTAAACACGAAATGAGGCTCGATTTATCAAGAACGTGTAGCTGTAAGATCGTGATGAACCTCAATAGTGAATGCCCAGCGTTTTATATCAAGGAAATTAAATGATATTTCAGCTGCTGAAAGTTTGATCACCTTCTTCAATTGGTGTTGTTTCACTCATCTGTAGGCCAGAACTCGAACCATTAGCTTCAGGGGCACCACCAGATTCGGAGATTCTTGTAACCCTCTGCAACTCATCTGATGAACGAGCTAACAACTGATCATCAGTCAACTGTTCGTTCTGAGATGCAGACTTTTTAGGTTGGCGGATGGCTGCAGCTGCCTCTGCCATTGCGACTGGAGGAGGCTGGGGAGGAACCCATGATCTCTGAATTGGTCGTTCCTGAACTGGTGCAGCTGGAGATCCAAAGTTTTGTTCACCTTCAGCTTCGATTTCAGTTATCCTGGCATTCTTGCGTTGCCACCAAGGTGCTGAATTGTCTCCATTCGTCAGATTGTCTTGGTAACCATAATTCAAGCCATCGCCACTCCCTTGAGATTGAAGGAAATTGGAATTATTTTGACTCTGGCCAACTTCCCAAGGCTGTTCACAAGCACAGATTATTAAATGGTTATCATTGCCACTTCGAGTAAATCTTACATGTGAACTGCATATGGCCCGTCTCCAATCCCACCTCTCGTCCAGACAATCCAAGAAAAAAAGCCGAATGTATTGAATAGAAAGTTCTATCTAGTAAACCATAACTCTTGTATCCAAACCAAAGTGACAGGTGTTCATAGAACTTAATCCATACAATATTCCTGAAATATCCTAGTTGCAGTGATTAATTCATCAAAAGAAGTACTTAAATAGGATTATAGATTCGATTAGTAAATCGTATTTTTCACGTCTAGCTGCCAGAATGTGGCTAAGGTTCTTTTTAAAAGTCAATCATGCAGAGACAATTCTTAAATTGACCCAATCCAACCTTCAAATTTGACCCAATTGCAACATTGTTGGTAGAAGAAACAGAAGGACAAGACAAACCTTAGGCTTTGCTGCAACACGATCAGGTACAGGCTGGTTAGGATTTGGTGGCTGATCATTTATATCCTGCATCGAAAGATGAATGTACAAACCTTCAAGAAAACATTACTTTTCAAGATACAAGAATGCCACTGGTGAGAACCATGGACTTACTCGGATGTTGGGAGGCTTCTCTCCTCTTTGAACCATAGCCATAATCTGTAAAATGATAATGAAGTTAGAAGAGCCGATTTACCTAAATCTTCCAGCAAGCATCTGACTCATTTTACTAGCAACTTCATTGAAGCGAAATAAAGTTTTTTTTTTTTGAAACTAAAGAGAAAGAAAGTTCAACTGGTGCTACTCATTGATTTGTTCAAAGATAGACGCATGCACTACATTACAAGGGGGAATTATCACAATTACCAAATGCTGTCATAAATCATAATACTATCAGATCTCATGAGTTGTGACTGCTTACTGCCATACACATATAGCACCTCTTTTTAACTAAAGTTTGTCTTTCCAGCTTGGAAGAAGAGAAGCCAATGCTTTTGCATGATTAAAGAATCTTCGCATATGAAATTAGAAATAAAAATAAAGAGGAGTTGATCAGGGAAAAAGAGATCCTTGATAATCTGGTTGGCTAAAATACTGTCTGGGCGCCCTCCCATCCATACACTCCCTGCATCAATTACCTAGTGATCCAAATCTATCCAAGTAAGAACTATTTTTTTTTTCAAAAGCTGATTTGGAAAACTCTACGGGAATCCAAAAGGTAATCAGGAAAGTGTTTAATCGCTGGCACACCAGCCAGAAAGTTGCATAATTTGCTTCTTAGAATGGTAAGAACATAGGATGAAATTACTAATAGATGAGCTAAAAGTTAGTAAAGGACCAATAATTAAAGGGAGTTGGCTATAATACTGTCTGGGCGCCCTCCCGTCTACATACTCCATCAATTACCTAATGATCCAGATCTATCCAAGCAGAACTATTTTTTTTGGGAAACCAAAAGGAAATCAAGAACATAGGATGAATTACTAATAGATTATTTGACAGTTAGGAAATACACTAACAAGCCAGAGAGCATAAGAGTCACCTCCATATAAGACTTTGGATGGGGTGCAGCAGATGGTTCAACAGATGCAGGTGGTGACAAAGATCTCACTGTATAAAATATTCCACTCATGTGCATTAGTATTTAAATCATCAATAAAAATTGATTTGAGAAAAAAAAAATCCAGCTAGAAACAGAAAGTAGAACCTGAATGTGCATCACCATTTACTTTTCCATTGGCATAAGATTGCTGGAGCATAAAAGAACATTAGAAACTGAATCCTAAAAGTCGACAGAGATATCAACTACAAGATCCAGACTTTTTTGTTGCTACACAGCTTACCCTAGATTGAGTAACTGAAATTCTTCGATCATCTAGTTCCGAAACAGGTATTCTTCCAGAAGTAGTACTTTGCCCTGCATGAGCGGAACACTGAAATTAGGACCCACTTCCTGTTTGAAGAGGATCTGGATCCCTTTTTTCCCCTTCCCCTTTAGAGTTGGGATACCCACCCTAAGGGTCAGGGAGTGCATGACATATAAAATCCAAGCTACACATGAAAAATCTAAAGAACCTGACATTTACCTTATGATTGCTAGAATTCCAAGGCAATGAAAACATTAAAATAAAGACGAAGCTAATACTGTATATGTAAAAGGAAGAACTCACGGAGTAGAGAGAAAGAACATAGCCAGAATTGCAGGGACCAACAACCGAAACGTTATTTAAGGAAAGAACTTAAAAATTCATGCTATAATGCATTTTATGGAGATGTAGAGGTCAATAGCCACCCCTGGTATGCAGATGATGGTGGATTCACAATCCACTGCCTTGATCCACTTGGCTACATCCGCCCCCTCGCCTACTTACATTCCATTTTTACATTAGACGAACTCCATTATACAGATGATAGGACAGGGCTAAGGCAGTAATCTCGACGGAGATTAGGATGAGCTTTGATGAATAAAAGAAGAATTGGTAGAAATTCTCATAGGTGAAGCCCACCTGATCCTCCATAAGGAAGCTTCAAATGATTCTTTGAACAAGTTCACAAGTTTTCATTCTGTGGCTTGAGAGTTAAAAACTTTTACAGAAACCACCCAAGTAAATAAGTATCATCACATATACTAAAAATATTTTGACAAGTAAAGCACCACGAAAACCTCATATAAACAATGACATTCGAACACCAAGGTTATTGAGCCAAAAAGATCTAGAGCCAAAAAGTAATCAGCTGGAGCTGAAGCTGGAATCAGCAAACTATAATTATACAGGTTATGCACAATTTATTATCTCTATCTTTCTCCATTGCTCTTTCAGTTATGAACAATCAAGTTATTAATTACTTCTCAGCAGGTCGCCAAAATTTACCTCCTTTCTAACCCCCTTTTGTGTCATAACACATCCTTTTTAAATTACACGACCCCCTAAAAGCAAAAAATGGTCAATATGCAAAAAATCTATTGATTAAGTAGAGAATTTCTACTTCATGAGCAAATGAAGAGGCACACCTTCCAGTTTCTCTATAGCACTTGTCACTGATTTCATCTCATGTACTAGCAAAAAATGGTCAATATGCAAAAACCTATTGATTAAGTAGAGAATTTCTACTTCAAGAGCAAATGAAGAGGCACACCTTCCAGTTTCTCTATAGCACTTGTCATTGATTTCATCTCACGTACTTGATAGTTTAGCAGGCTTGTCAGCTCCTCAAAATACCTTTTCTCTGTGGAGGAACACAAGTTAAATCACAACATGATTATCGATGGTAAAAAAAAATAAGCACTGGATAAGAAAGAGGATGAAAGATTTAAGTCACCAATGTTGAACAATATTTCAGTTTATTTTATTTCAGATCCAGTTCTTAACTTGTTATTACATAAGAATTTACATTACCAACCTTCGGATTTTGATGCCAACATCTCCTGGCTTGCTCGGGCAACATCAGCAGCAGCAGCTGCTGCAGCTTTTGCAGCAACAGCAGCTTCTTCTGCTAAACTTGGTTTTCCCTTGACAATACCTTTTTCATCTTCTTCTTCATCCATTACAACCTTGCGTATCCAAGACTTCAACCGGGGAATAATAGATTTCTGCAAATGGACGTGTCACTTAACAGTGGGTGATAAATATAGTGAGTAGTCCATGAGAAAAGTTTCCAATAGATTGTCATAAGCACCAGAATCCTACTTTAGAGATGGATCTAATAAGATAAAGCATCGGAGGAGACCAAATAAATCTGAAGAAAATCTTCATAACAGGGATATTTATAATAAAGAAAGAAGGAACACAAAAGTCAGAACAGGGTTAACTAAAAATCTTCAAATAGTTCTTCAGTTAAGGTACACGCTTTTTTGAAATGACCTGCATCTAGAGTATATAGGCGTGGTCAAATTTTCCATCACCATGCAAGCTCCTCACATATGAGAGGCCAGAGTTACATCTATGAGATACCCATCATTAATCAAATACCACCTTTTGTAATTTGTATGAAATCATTAGGCTTTTTTTCTTTTCTTTTCTTTTCTTTGTTTCGGTCAATAAGTTCAACCAATTTACTAAACTAATAATAAACTGAACCACCACAAATAAAAGTTTGAGATGTCTCGCTTATGAAAAATAAATCTACACTGAAGAAATGGGGAATAGACAGAAGAAAAAGTACAATATGGTACGGATTGGCATGATAAATAGAAAGCTCTTTACTATGCAATACCTTGAAAAGTACAGCTGTTCCAGCTCCTGAAGCAGCGAGTAGACCTACAGCAATAACTGCATGAGTCCAATGGAAATGAGAGAGATACCCCATTTTTTTCATGCTATTGCTCGGAGCTGACGCTGGCTGCAGATTTTGTAAAGCAGCCTGTGATGTACTAGTCGATGAAGGCTTCTGTGTCCCATCTGTCATCAATATATCAGGACAACATGACAAGCATAGGCTCCAAACAGTATCAATCTCAAGAAAAGAATAAAAGGCCAAACTTATTTCGAGAACAATATGAATTACCTTCATTAGCAGCAACTGGCTGTGTGCTAGTAACAGTTGGGGTAGGATCCTGTAATTTAGGCACAAAATCAATATATATCTTAAATTTCATGTAGATATTACAGTTACATTTAAGACAATATCAAATGTAAAAAATCTAAATGTGGCTTACAGGAACTCGACGAAAGGCCTCGTCAATTTCCTCCTTTGTAAGCCCCTTCCTCTCAAGAAAAGAACGCCTATACATGACTGGAGATCCCCTAACTTTTGGATGTGAAAGAAATTTCATAGCATTCTGGACTTGGTCCTCCCGAATTGGTTCCGAGTTTACAAACACAGAAGCTGGAGAGCTCCCACTTGCAGCCTCAGGCTTGGGACCTTGATGATTTTCAGCTGCTGGTTGCGAAGCTGTTGCTTCAAATTAGAAATTTAAGCTTGGATTACGATATATCATGAAATTCTCTGTTGCTTCAAATTAGAAATTTAAGTTTGGATCACGATATAGCATCAAATTATCTATTTCATACAACATCGTTTCTCTTGTTGAGAGGGTTTGCTGGTGCATTCTAATCTATGATTGTGCAAAGCCTCGTAGAGAAAATTATCTAGTTAATGAACCTACCATCCTCAGAAGCCTCACACTGAAAACAAAATCACCTAGTTATCAATATGCACATTATATACAGTTACTGGATATCAAATCAATCCATTTATTTAAGAACATTAGGCTTAAACCTGTCATTAGTTGCTAAGGTAAATGTTTAAGAACACAGAAAAAACCTAATTATCTCGAAGATTTGCACTACACCAAAATCATACGGCTTCTAACAACACAAGCTACAGTATTAAACAAATGATCATTAGATGTAACAATATCAAGTTAGTACTACTTTATTGCTTAACAAACCAAAAGTAGCAACCATCCATAAAAGAAAAAAGAAGCACAATTACATGCTCCTATCCCAGTTAAAGACAAAAAGGCACAAACATCATAAAGTCCAAAAAGATTCGATCTTTATGGCAAATACTTCTTTTCAGATAACAAAGTAGCAGCAATAACTAAACATCACGATCTATTTCTGTCTGATATTCAAGAATCAACTAAACAGTAGCAGAGCAACAACTTTCATCAAAGAAAAGCAACTAAAAGGGTACCTGGATTCTGGGTATTCTCGTTTACGGAGTTGGGTGGAGAATCTGATTGAGACGCCATGTTATCCAACTCCTATTGAACTGAATTTCAAGAACAGTACAAGAAAAAGAACATGCCAAGATTAGAGGAGAAGAGAAGAAAAGGAAAAAAAATCCAAACTTTTTTTTTGTTAACATAGAAATAGGCACCGAATTACCTCAAGACGAATTGATTATTGATGATAGTATGTCAGAACCCACAAGTGGATTTTGCTCATCTCGAAGCAAATGCTATTACTAGCTTTTCTGTGTGCGAAATTGCTTATTGATATACAAAATAACAAGAAGACAAAACCCTTTGCAGATAACATGGCCCTCAAAGAGTCAAGCTCCTTTTTCTCTGTCTTTTTCTTTTTCATTATTTTTAGTCTAACACGTAACTGATAAAGTTATTATTACGTAGATAAAAGATTAAAACTTAAAAATGTAGTTTAGTGTAGCATGTTCCCTTTAGTCTTGAGAGCTAAAGTTGTGTGGTACTCTTACCTAGAAAATTATAAGAGGTAACATAATTTACCAATCATTTAAAAAGAAAAAAATATATTAAGATTTGCATGTTATAGTAACCTAAGGCAAAATAATTAAAAGTTCTTAGAAATCATCAAATATATTCTTGCTCCGCTTTCTCCGAGTTGGTGAAGGTAACAAGTACCTTGTTAAACGAGTCAAGGTCCATGCAGGCTGACACAGAAACCACAATAGAAAAAAGAGAGACTGATAAGCCGAAAAATGTAAATCTGTTTAGAGGGACAGAAGATTGATTTGAAGAATAAATACAACACCATGGACAAAATGTTTGCATGGACAATCAATTCTGCTAATAATGTTACATCTTTTCTCTATACTCTCACAAGAATCACATAAACAAGCAGGACGGTTTCATGAGTGATGAACTGGAAAGCCGCAGGCTAAAAGTCCATGAGGAAGAAGCTTGTGTAACATTTATGTTCCGCGGTCTGGTTACAATCACATTATCCATCACATCATTTGGCTGCTAGAGGCTATGTGGTCGAAATGCTAAATCCAGTTCAATTTACTCTGTCAAGCAGCTTCTCCACCATAATCTTTTGTTGCACTGAGGTCAAGGACTCAGAGTTCATTATTGCATTCGCAGCAAGGATGATTGACGATTGGTGCTCAGCATTTACCTATTACAGCAGAACAAGTATCTAAATTGAGAATAGAGGCAAAAGTATTTGAGACTTAGAAAGAGATGGACGGATCAACCACAATAAATAGAGAATGAACAGATTTATATATACCCACACACGGCCGTTTAAACCAACAGCTATCTCAAAAGCTAGCTTCTTTCCAAGACCTTCAAGAACTGGACATGTTGGTGAGCTCAGCAGCCTAGGAAAAAAATACAAAAAGATGAACATGTAGCTAAGGGAATAGCATGCAACAAGACCTTCAACCCTTTTTCTTGTTTCTATTCTGATGAGCAAGTTAAGGTTACAGTAAAATCTAAACCAAAGATTTCACTGTTGCAAGTGAAAGCCAAAATAGAAACTTACATCCGTGACAAACCAGTTGATGATTCAAACATATAGCCATCTTTAAGGGGTCCAAACTCGGCAGCTTTTCCAGAAGCTGTATCGAATAAGATGATTTTATTAAAATCAAGAGTAACAGCAGATAGATTAGGGCATTCAAGAAATTCTTTGCAACTTAGAGGAAGTACCAACCATCCATGCACGATAACTCTGGGTTTATTCCTGGGTTGGCCTTGACAATACGAGTATAAATTAGAGTACCTACCTGAAATTCCAAGACAGGTCATCAGAAAATAGTCATTGATATACACATGGTGCATTAAAAAAAATTGATTAAGAAGAATCCTATGGCTCATCGGTGCTGGCATATTTTCAAGCAAATACTCTGCCTCACCCCCTATGAAACATGAAAAGCTCTAAGTGGGTGTGAATAACTCATAAAACTATCTATACTAATGAACTTGCAATTTGAGGCCAGTTTCTAAGAGGCACAAGCACTGACTTATGAGCCAAGTAGTTGAGGAATTTGCTTGCACATGAAGGAAAGAACTGCTCCCAGAGGTATTTATCACAATTTCTCCCCTTAAATTCTGAATCTTATTTTACAAAAAGAAGGGGGGGAGGGGGTAAATTAAATTGCTATCAACAAACTAATATGATATCTTCTAATTGAAGAGGGCACATCAAGCAATTCTCGAACAAGCAACCAGCAATTAATAAAATTAAACTTCTCAATTAGAGGAGAGGAGAGTTTGCCCCATTTACATGGAGTCTTCCAATACATCTATCTCCATTTGAGTTAAATAATAAAGCTGTCACTCAATTTCAAATGATCAAGATTCATAGAGTAAAAATTTATAATCAGATAAAAATTGCAAAACAATATCTTCATTTTGGTACAAGTATTTTCTATCATAATGAAACATAAGATGAGAAAAGAACAAAGAATATGAGCTCAAATATCATGAAACTTAGGATTATCACCTCAAATTTGGGTATGTTTCTCCTAGTCCCTCCTTCAAATGCTAGCACTGGCAAGAACGCCACCATTGGCCCTTTTATGTCCACATAAAAGCTCTGCCAGAAAACTCAAAAGTGAATTTGAAGCTCATAAGGAAAAATCATAGATCTTAATGACATAATCTGCAGTTTCAGATAAGAATCAATGAACTTTTAGATTTTATGCGTGCTACATGGACCATCATTACATTTGTGACAAATCTTGATGTGTTCATGAAAATGACAGAAAAATAGACAAACACAGGAAATCTCTCATCATAAGTACTAGAAACAGATAGAAATTTTTTGGACCAACTTTTTTACCTCAATGAATGTAATTTTGTATAATGAATGATCAACATAAGTCACCACTCGCCACCACATTAATATGAATGTCATTCTATATGGTCAATAACACATACTCTAAAAAGAACTTATTTCCCAGCAGACTTGCATCACTACCCTTCCCTTTTTACACAACTACAGCTGATATGTCCTTACCAGAGACATGGTGGTTTAGAACCTAAAACCCTACAGTTGACTTCAACCAAACTGTAACAAATGAAACTAAGTAGTCAACAACTCACATAAATCCCCTCAAATATTAGGAGCAACATATATTGGATGCTTATTATGTCTTAGATAAGTGCACCATAGATCTGATTGATCAAAAACAGGAAGCAGAAAGACACACTAAAGCAAAAGATCAGAGCAGCACGAAACTCCCAGTTAAAGCACCAATTATACTATTTTCGTATAAAGCAAATAGAAGAAGTGGATAGTTTGACAGCATCAAAGGAAACTCATCAAAAGATGATGAGATTAATAAGTTAAGGTCGTTATATATCAAAAAAGGAATATCAGCATCTTGGCTTTGACTTTTAAACTCATTAAAAAGAAAAGGATAGTGAGATACTGAAAAAATTTAGTTCTTAAATGCATAACATACTCAATTACTTAAAAGTGCAGCTGTTAGAGAGTTCATGCTGCAGAAAGTAGAATTAAGGGCACGGCTAGTAGCAAAGTAGACATAACTATTCACCAGAAACCGAAATAAGGAGGTTATCACAATAAACAGTGGCATTGCTTATTATAAGAAGAACAAGTAACAGTTTTGAAATACTGAAGAATGCTTACATCTGCTCTTTTGTCCACCACAATTCCAAGGACAGCATCCCCCACGGTAGGTATATACTGTAAAGAAATAACAGCGGATCAGCAAATCAAAGAAAGTTCAATTTGATATTCTTTAAAGAAAAAAGTTCAACACTTCAATTCAACCAGAAGAGACTATCCTAATTTTTATCACCGAACAAGGTTATTTCTAAAATAGTTGTATCGCAGGGTTAAATCTAGGAATTGAGTAGTCACTGATGGAATCATTAGTACTTGGCTCCTATTTGATAAGGTAGTACTATAGCTCCCTTGTTAGTCCATATTTCAAAACAATACATTTAACCTTGTAATTTCATACTTTTTTCCCTTTATAAGTTTTTTGCCGAGTTAACTAAGCAAAAGAAAAAACATAAAGGACCTCTGCAACTCTGAATTGGATATCTTCCTTTAACTCTCTAATATAGTAGCATTAACTCACTTGTGCAATAGTTGAGGACATATAAAGTTTGCAGATCCACCATAACGCACATTGGCTCATTCATTCTAGCAGTGAATCAAAATTTCAACCTAAACAGTGAATACATGCTGCTTTATTTAATTTCATATACATTCCCTTAGAGTTTCACTGTGAGAAAATCCAAAGTGCAGTTTACTATCTCTGTTTCAATCATGAGAAGATGCTGAGTTAAAGAAATAGTTTCAGGTTACTTTAAACGTATTAAAATATTAGCCAACAACCTGTAAAAAGCAACAAAACTGGAATTTTCCAATAAAATCTACAAAAAAATAACAGCAGAAGTGATACTTGGATAATTCTAGAAAGATAGCACCACTCACTCTTTTGTGTGAGCTTTCAATCCAGTACTTGTTTGGCTTTGAAAATCTCAAAATACCTGCTTTGACGACAGTTACAGCATCATGATCCTGTCAAAACGGGAAAAATATGTATAGAACCTCATATATATTTATCTTGAAGGCAGTTAGAAATTTATAAACTTTTGATGCATTGCCTCCTTATACTTAGAGCCACAGTAAGTATAATGCTGAATAGAGTACTATCATCCACAGAGGAAAATAACCATATACAGGTAAAGTGCAAGAAAAGCTAGCTTTGAATACATTAGCTTTAAGTCTCTTTTTGATACATATAGAATGAGAGAAAAAGAACAAATTTTTTTTTCAAAATAGCAAGAACTATGTGCCTACAAATGTTGAGTTCTTGGTGTATCAAACAAGTAAATTGTAATAATCCAAAATCAGTGAGAGAATTAATGTATTCCCTGAATGTGAGAAGGAACTTTCTTGGTGCTCTGAACAACAAAATTCCAACTCACTTACCAGAAAGAAAAAAAAAGCAAGAACAGTGTATAAAACATAAAAAGAACCTTTTTTTAAGCTAATATTTGTATATACAAGAGCCACAAACAAAAATCTATAAACCCATGAGACAGAAATCAAAGCTCTGAGAGGAAAAACCTGTTGGAGGCCGCCACCCAGTTTAATCGTTTGGTTAGTCATGCTGGAAAGATCTAAAACAACATCACCAGGAACCTAATCAAAACCAAAAATACAATCTTTTTTGCATCAAACAATTTATACACTATAATCTGGCACAAGAAATCGAAAAAAAAAAAGTTTGTACTTACTACTGGTTTATCAATGAAGCAAGGTTTCGAACCCATTGTATTGTGTTTTTCTTGATTGAACAGAGTGTTTGTGTAAAGTCTTGGGGTTTATGTCTCAACAATGTTAAAGATTGCTAACCTAGCACCCCTTTGTTATCAACATAAATAGTTTTTATACAAAGTTATATTTTTTAAAAAATAAGGAACGAAGAAACTTCTAATTTGGGTTAGAGGAAAATAAAAAAAAATTATATTTTTTACGCAAATTATATAATGTCAATAGCTAATTATATTTCATTCTTACTATATTCAAATTACTAAAATTCCCTAAGTATAGTGGAATCCGAATACATTCCAAAGCATTTCGATACATCGTATCTATGTTTCAGATATGTTGCATCTCGATTATCTGATACATTGCTCACATCCTCATATATCACGCAAAGTGATTTATTCGACTAGTTATAATTTTTTCAAATAGTAAAAGTTTTAAATAATGTGATAAAATAAGTTGTGTATTTAATTTTCCTAAAAATAATAAGTACTCCTAGGTAGGGAAAATTAAAATAGAGAATTAAAAATAAAGGGATTTTTTTTTAAAAAAATAAAAATAATAATTTGGATTTTAGGGGAAAATTAAAATAAGAAATAATAAAGTAAAAAGTTTGGGTTTAGGGAAAATTAAAATAATATGTAAAAAAAATTGACAGCTGTGGGATTTGAACCCACGCCCTTTCGGACCAGAGCCTAAATCTGGCGCCTTAGACCACTCGGCCAAACTGTCTTTTTGTTATGATAACGATGTTTTTTTTTATTAACAATTAATTATCGAAGTCTTTTTCTGTTATGATTCAATAAAAATAAGCATTATATAAGTAAAAAGGCAAAGCCCGACAGTATATTGCATCGGCGACGCTCTCTACACCTGACCGGTGAATTAAGGTTTATTCCACCGGCGGCCATGACACCGGTTTCATCAAAGCTTTACGCAGGTCTGTCTCCTTCTCTGTCTGTGTAGCTGAAGTATGCAATAAGTACATGTTAGTGGAATAAGAGGAAAATGTGTTAAAATTAATCTCTTTTGAATACTTTCAGACGATGTGAGCCTATTGATGGTTCTGGTTGATACAAATCCCTACTTCTGGAGCTCAATGAAGAACACTGCCTTCACATTCCCTAAATTCATATCACACGTAAAGACCCCTAAAACCCAAAATTTGTTTTTTTTTTTAAAAAAAAATGAATAGTTTTGTGTTCTCCATTTGTTGAATTTTGATGCTGGAATGTATGGGGGAAATGCAGGTTCTTGCTTTCTTGAATTCGATACTTTTACTGAATCAGATGAACCAAGTAGTTGTGATTGCAACTGGGTACAATTCATGTGATTATGTATTCGATTCGTCTACCTCGTCAATGCAAAGAGCTGAGTGTTTGTTGGAGAAACTGGAGGATTTTGTGGATAAAGATGAGTCCTTGAGTCAAGAAGACTCTGTTGATGGAGTTGGGTTTTCGCTGCTTTCTGGTGCACTTTCTATGGCTTTGTGCTGTATCCTCAATCAGTTCATGTCTGTTGGTTTTTTTTATATTCTTATTGAAGTGAAATTTTAATGATTTTTATTGAGATGCAGAACCAAAATTTGGACTTGCTAGGTTTATTCTTTGAAGCTCTTAGCACTGAATTTATTGACTGTTGAAATTCTAGATACGAAATCTAATCTTTTTGGTTAGATTTTAGTTTTTCTTACTTGTGTATTCATGTTCCGTATTTGAAAATACTGAGTTTGGTTGAACCCGTAGCTATTAGCTATATCTGCCACTGGTTTTTATTTGTTATTGTGCATAGCTTTGCATTCACGTTTGTTTAGAGGAAGTGTTTCTCTTGACCTGTGTGCACTGTTAGACATTCAACGGGTATTTCGTTCAGGGCCTCTTCATCCACAACCTCGGGTAAGTTCCTTATTTTACAAGAAACTGAAAATGGGTTCTTCTGGGATTTTGAATTGATGGAATTTGTTATGAGAATTTCTACTTGTATTATTTTGTTTATCCAGTTACATTTATAGATTTTATGCTTATGTGAAATTTTCCTGGTCGATCCATTTGGGATCGTAAGCTTTAGCATTTACAAGCATAACATGTTATTATGCCAAATACCTTATCCATGGAAATATCTCTCGTCCAAGGGGAAAAAGAACTTCGAGTTTTTTCCAGTGATTTCTTTGGCCTTTTACGTTTCATGTTAATTCTGATAGTGTTTCTTAACCCCAAAGGTGCATTTAAGGGGGTTTGGTGAGGTAATACTTTAAGTTATTCTATGTTTTATGTACCTTAAACAAAACCATCAATTAAACTTCAATGTGCCCTGATTTATTTGTACTGCAATTTTTATCCAATGGTATAGTGAAACTACCATTCCCATCCTTATCAAGAAAAGAAAAAACTAGCATTCCCGATGAAATGCCATTTCTGGTCCCATTTCATTGGCAATTTCTTAATGTGATATTATCAGATATTACTACATCATTTTTGTGTTTGTTAATTTGATCATTTATCAGTAAGGTAGTTGTTAGGAAAAAAAAATCTGTCTTCTCTTGTTTTATACTTTAAAATTTGATCCGTTTTTGTTATGTTGGATATGAATATTGATGCTAAGAAAATGTGCTTGAAATTATGGCAGATATTGTGTCTGCATGGATCTCCAGATGGGCCGGGACAGTATGTTGGATCTTCACAGCTTCTACAATCTTCTCATTGTTAGGTTCTCTGCTGAAACATGTTCTTTTTTTGCAGATATGTTGCAGTCATGAATTCAATTTTCTCAGCTCAACGTTCAATGGTATATAGGATTTAACAATTCTTTCCTTCAATTTTCCTTCTTGATTAATTAGAAAGTTGTCACATGTCTTCATAAATGTAGAATTTTCAAAATTAGGGATCGGGACTTAGATTTCCATATTGTGATCCTACTCTAAGAAATGCAATGCGTTTTTATTGCAGGTACCCATTGATTCATGTGTAATAGGATCTCAGCATTCTGCTTTTCTTCAGCAGGTAGCATTTCTATACCTGAAAGTTCTGGTTGAAAATCTATTCCTTCTCAGCATGAGTTATTTTCTGGCTCACTGATCTTATGGTGCATATCTATCTGGGAACAGGCTTCTTACATAACTGGTGGTGTATATTTGAAACCCCAAGTATCAGATGGACTGTTTCAATATCTCTCTGTAAGTGTTATTAAAATTATTAATACTAAGTTGTCTCTCTTTGTCAAAAAAAATACTAAGTTGTCTCTAGCTTAGCATTTTAACTTGTCAATAGCATGGATCCAACATTGAACATCTACGGTTGTCTCCAGTGCTGCCTTCAGACATTAGTTTCTATCTGATGTGTAAGCATGTTGAACAAGTCACTATACTTTGATTTGTTTAGTGTATGCAATTTTTGTTTCCAAGGAGCTTACACTAAAAAGACCTTCCAAAAGTTTGACCTATTTTAAATCTGGTATTAAATATTTAATATATGTACTACTATTGTTGGTGTTGGAGATACAGTGATCAACCAAAAGGCTATGACTGAAAGTACCAATGTACTCTTTGTGGACTTAGAAAATCTTCTCCAAATGTCTTCTGGACTGCCGCAGTCCGATGGCTTCTCCTTTTGCCCTCTATAGTGAACTTCTCATGCTTTGTCTCTGTGAGTAGGAGATAATAATATCATGAATGAAGATGTGATTGTTGTATGACCTTATTTTCAACATTTCGTTCACGTTTCATGGAATGCAATAGACCCATTGCTAAAACCACTTCCACGACTAGAATACAGTATCTACACCAGAAGTTATATTGAAATTGATTTCTTATTCAAGATGTTCTTTCACATCAACAAGTTGCATATTTCTGTCTGATGCGGTTGGTGTACTGTGCTTTCATTCACCTGGTGTGATCTGTAAGATGGTTAAATGCCTTGTTTTATTTTTGAGATGTTTTATTTGTAGAATGTCTTGTCTTGAGATCTAATTTTCCGTTTGAAAATACTGACAAGACTGTAATAAATACAGACAGTTTTTGCGACTGATTTACATTCTCGGAGCTTCTTGCAACTTCCCAGACCTGTTGGAGTTGACTTCCGTGCATCGTAAGTGATTAGTGTGTCTATTATTCAAGTTATGTCACATATGATGAACTGGTAATATAATATTTGGTATGTATCCTCACTAATATTTTATGCACTCTTTTTGATGGTAGTATTCAACTTTTTGTATTGTCAATGTTCAAGTTCGTTGTGTTAGCTTATCTCATTCTTCTTGAATCGTCTCAAATTACCTACGAAGCTTAAGTGATTTATCCATCTAGCTCAATGTCATTTAAGAATGGTTGTACCACCTTTTCTCTTGCATTGTGAAAGCTCTTTCCTATTATACCTTTTTTTACTTCAATTAGACAAAAGCTTTCATCATCCACTCGTATTTTTGGCAGACAGAAATTCTCCTTGGATCTTCTTATTTGAGGTTGTTGTATCATCTGTTAATTTTGTCTTAACCATATCTTTCCCAACTCCCAGCTTTGAGTCATTACGAGTGTTACGAACTTGCAACTAACTTTTGAGAGTGCAGCTTTTGATAGGATACTTATCCTGAAAAAAGAAAACAATGTTTATCAAGGAGACCTATTCTCTACTAATAGCAAAAGTAGAGTATTTATTGAATTTCCTCCTATCTGGACTCAAATAAATCTGTGCTCCAATTTCCAGTCTATTCTTACAAATTCTTGGATTTAGCCCCCAATTAGTATTGGGTACTCTTCACCCCTTTACATTCCATTAAGTATAGCTGCTCATCTGATTATGTTGTGCGACTAATTTTCAGGTGCTTTTGCCATAAAAACACGATTGACATGGGTTTCATATGCTCTGTTTGTTTATCAATATTCTGCAAGCATCACAAGAAATGCTCAACTTGCGGGTGAGTATTCATTATAAACTTATTGAAGTGTCTCATTGATGAACTTCTCTTTTTTTCATTAATTATGCTGCATTAAGAATAATGTTCCGTCCAAAGAGTTCACATGAACTTGTGATCATGTCAATGTTACTGTCAGTACTGGTTACTTTTTGATCAGTTAGGAGTTCTATTGCTGTACACACAAGGAGTTGAGGTATTCTAATGAACAGCACTCTTATATTCTAATAGGGAGAGTTGCCATGATTTACATGCCCTAGCTTCATTACATCAAGGTTTTAACACTAACGCTAAAAGATAAATACATATTTTCAATCTATGTACACTTATGTTTTCATTCAAAATCTCTAGCCTTCTCACCTTCTAGACCGCCCACCAAATACGAGAAGGGAACTAGAAGTATTGGTTATTGGTTATAGTTTCATATTATTTACAAGGACAAGGGTGGCATGGACATAATAATGTGTATGCTAGTTATGTGATTTTCACTTATTTGTTTTGCGACATAATATCTGCTAGTTTTCTGGAAAGGTTGAACTCTGCACAGCAATTATAGGGATAATAGGTGCAGTTAAAAGGTCCTATTGAAAAACATAGAAGCTGAGGCAATGTTACCTACCTTGCACTATGTTAACTATCTGAATTTCTTGAGAGAAGATACATGAACATCACTCACCTAGTAAGTGCTAATGGATAACTTGTCATTACATTTTAAGGATTCTTTTCTTGTTTCCTGAGAACATTTCAGACAAAAACCGAAGACACAGGAAAAAGGGTTGCTTGATTCCATTTTAATATTGTAGAAGTTTATCTGTAGTAGCATCCTAACTGTTTTTCAACCACTCACTCCGCTGATAACTCAATTCATTGAGTTTGGGTATCCTAATTTTTAAGTTCATGCCATAAAATGCAGATCAAATTTTGGGGAGGCACGAAAGCAGGATCCCTCAGCCTCGGATCAGAGGAGGACTTCATATGGTAGTTGAATAGATAATCCTAAAGCCTATTTAACACCTCAGGCCATTGCCACTACTGTGTTTCAATAGATTTCTTATGATATGAACTTCCAGATGGTTATATTAAAGACGAGTCCAAACTGGACTAATGATACTAGACTATGTTTCAGCAGCAGGAAGAGGAAATTAAGGAAAGAGGGAGCTTGACCTTTTTCCAGTGTCAAGAATCTCCTTCTCTAGGTGAAGGAATACATAGGATGATTCTAATGAACTTGTCTGTATTTTATGAACTTCCAATATAAAAATGTTATTGTCCAAGTGAAAATTTGAGTAGAATTCCAAAACAAGTTAAAAGGTACAAACTGCAAATACATCAAACTGTTACCTGAACTCAAGATTTGATTATGTCTCTTAATGAAAATGTTTCACATTCACACTGTTCAATACATCATATAGATTTAACATATACCATATCCATAAGAATATATGCATATTTGACGTTATTTTTTTCACGTACTCTACAATACAATTTGCTCAACCGGATTTGTATACTTTATTCCTCTGCAGTAGGAGTGGGGAAAAAAAGAGATTATTATACAGCTAAATCTATTTACTACATCTGTACAACTTCTGATCCACTAGGCATAAATATTTCTTGCAGTAATTTCTCAAAATTACACAATGGATGAATATAGTTGTAACTCATTTCAAGATCACGAGGAACTACGGTTGCAGAGGCTATAACCAGATATGATAGAGCTGAAGGCAAAAGCAATGAAAGCCAGGAAAGACATCGCGATTGATGCACTTGCCATTTCTGTGAATGCATCTTTTCCCCAATTTGTTGCCCAGTCGTCTACCCTCGTTGCAGAAGAAGATGATGCAGACATAATAAGATATGCCAGTATCTGCACAGGTACGAGAACAAAAGACTATCATCAGAGCATATATACACACAACAGTAGCAGGACTAATAAAGCTAGCTAGATAACCAGCACAATAACAATAAACTAAACTGACCCAGAAGTTTTCAACTGGCTAAATAGAAACTATACACTTGAGAAGCTTCGAGTAAATGTCATGAACACTGCAACATACCACAACATCTTAGGGTCCATACACACTACATACTAGGGCCAATGTACGCTTTGATAATTTTGGCAATTGAAGTGAAATTTCATTCTCAAATATCACTCATCATCTTAGTTCCATGAAAAGTATCTAGTACCTTCCTAATGATGAATTCATCCATAAGTTATTCAGCCCCGAATTCTTGCTCTCCAAGTGCTGAACCCTCTTTACGAGAGGGTCCAAATATCTTTAGGAAGTTATGACAATGTGTTCCGTTGTTGAGCTCATCTCAAACACACACTTGTATGGAATAGTAAGCTACCTATAATTCTACCCTGCTTAGGTTTTCTAAAGCCTTCAGCCTAGATGAGGCACTGAAAAGTTTTTCTTCAACACTAGAGCTGAAAGAAGTTATCGAATAGCTCTGAACTAAAACAGTTTCGCATCTCCTAGTGGAGCTGAGCCATCTACTTCTCTAAGACCTGTTCCCAAGGATCCAAATCATATGCCTCAGAGTGGGGAGGAAAATCATTTTATTTTTTTGACCGAGCACGACTCTAAACTAAAATCTACATAAAGATAAAAAAAAACCAGGACTAAAGAAGCCATTGAAAAATGCTATTTTTCCTTCAAATAAGCAGCTCAATTGAATACATAGAGGTGGAATAATCCAGACTCTGCACCCTTCCCTGCTAGCAACATTCTAAGGGCCTAATACGAATACCTAAGAGCAAACCATACCAGTTACTAATTTCACCTCAAACTAGAAACACAGATTTATGGAAGTACACCAGTTGAAATGGTACTACTTGCCTGATCCATTGAGAAATTGAAATGATATCGCATATGGTAAGAGAGGAAGTGTTTCCCAGTTGCCAAACTTAGTGCTAGATCAAATGCTTGAAATCCAGCATATGCAAATCCAATAACATTAACAGCTACCAAATACCTGTGGCAAAAATTAGGTCTAACATTACTTAAAGATGTGGAAAGCAAGGACATAGTAAACCAGAAAAAAAGGAAAAAACATGAGAGATATCAACTATGAATCCCTTGGATCAACCAACACAGAATTACAGTCAGAACTCTCTTGGGAACCGACTTTCATATTACTCTATCCGTTTCAATTTGTTTGTCTAGCTTTGACTTGACACGAAATTTAAGAAATACAAAAACACTTCTGAATCTTATAGTCTCAAACTAAAGATATGTAGATTGTATCAAAATGTCCCTCAATCTTGTGGCCCTAAACAAGACACGTGAAATGTTAGAATTCAAGAATTGCCAAAAAATGAAAAGATAGACATTCTTTCTGAACCGACTAAAAAGAAAAGTAAGACTATCAATGGAAAGAAGTATGCTATATTATAGTATGTTCTTTATAACAACCATGTTGTAATTAAGAGGTTTGACTGTATTTGCTTCTGATAAAAGGAAACAAAATATTCACATTTCAGCTAAAATCTATCGGCTGTGGTGCACAGACTACTGCTTCTGTGCAAAATTTATTTCTCCACTTAAAAATGCTTTCTTTACCATTGAAACAAAAATACCAACATAAACAGAGGTATAGATGTAAGCAGAAAATGGTCACCTGTATTCTTTGTAACGATCAAATGAATCACCAGTCCAACCTTGAGTTTTATCAGCTGCCATAACCGAAAACGAAATCAAGCAAAAAATGACCTCACAAACCCTAAACCCTAACGCCACCCTGTTCATCATAACATCCCTTTGCGACCTTTCAAGAATCGACTCAACAGCCGCCCTCGACCGCTTCTCACCTCCAACTTCTCCCCCTTCCACGTCAGCACCACCACCACGTACCGGACCCACCTTCGTCACCCCAGGTGCCATATCCTCCCTAACCGCCCTACTTACATAAACCAGCGGCGACCTCCTTTCCACCGCCGGCGGTGGAGTCGCCGGCGAACTCAAATTTTCCGACGAAAGTTTATGCGATGATCTGATTGGGGAAAAGTACTTGTCTACTGCAACGATTGCCTTTGAAGGTGATTTGGAGTTTTGGGGTTCAGGGAAAGGATCATCAGAACGTAATGGCGACTCGGATCGAAGTGGTGAATGGAAAGAATCAATTTGACTGACCTGTGACTCTGTATCCGACATTGATAAATGACTACTACTCTGTTTATGAAGATTTCGATGATTTAAACTGAAATTGGGTTCTGGGTTTGGATTTTTCATGGTGGGATTCTTGAAAAATCTGATCTTTATTGAGAGATTTTTGAACAACTGTGAAGAAAAATACTTTGGAAAACAAAGTGGGTTGTCTTTGTCGATACTTTTGAATCACCGGAGGTGTAGTGAACTATATATGGAGGTCTATAGGTATTATGGTGTTCTCTTCTATGAATCAATGTGAGAGTGCCAGGTGGAGATTTTTGGAATTTAGTATAACGTGGCGAGTAATGATTGGCTGATGATAAAAAAGTGTTCCGCTTAAGTTGTACGTGAATCTAAAAGGAAGTGATTCTTTACGTGATATTATTGAATGGTAATGCATGCTAAAATACGATGCTGTTTCTTTTTTTCTTTTTCCATTAAAAATGTTTGTGTAAATTTGGTGCGAAAATATGAAAACGTAAACACACGAAAAATTCAAATAAAATTTAACATATATCATATGCATATGATTTAATTTTCAATATTATGTAATGTGATTTTTCACTAAAAGAGGTTTAGATGAATTCTCAATCTTATTTAGATCAGTTTAGATCAGTGTATACTCATTTTATAAGATTATCTTTGTCTGTATATACTTATCCATATTTAATTAAACGTATCTTAAAATATAAAAAAAAATATCATATTTGTAACTCGACTATAATCTAGAACACTTGCATCCTCAAGTGACTTTTCCTTTTTGGTGTTTATACCAAATTACCATAAATAAAGATAGCTAAATCATAAAAGTGAGGTAAAATGTTTGCTTAATTAATTAATCACGAGTACTACTATAATTGATGGTTAAGTACTTAGTCTCGTGTTAATTCTTATATTTGTTTCTTGAGAGTCCAATTATGTAAACTTAGATTAGTATTTTAAAACATATTTTTTTTCATTTAACAAGAAAAAAGGTTGTAACTAATAGTACTTAATTATCGTACAATTTTATGAATATTTAAATTTTAAATATAAAGTATTAAGTTGATTAAATTCACTCTAACAAAAATGAGTCAAAATTGACTTTAACCATGATAACTAAATTTGGGTAGTTTAAATGCTGAAATTGAACTGTTAAAAGTTTAAAACTATAGTCTAAATTGTGAATTGTGATTCTTTAGTCCCAAAATTTGAACAAGAAAAAGCCAAAAAAAGCTCATGCCATTTGTTTGTCCCACCTTATCTCTTTTGGTATGTTTAATAAAAGTTTCATGCTAATAATTTGCTATAACCATATCATATAAATTGAAACGAAAGAATAATACTTTACACCATGCAATATCTTACACGATTTTCCAAAATTCAACACTCACATCGTCTTTAAAAGTGGTGGTGATTGAGCTCTTTTTCCTTTTCTTTTATGTTCCACGATATGACACCCACAAGTTTGACTCACAATACCTAAAATTTGATGTATTTTCTTCAGATTCAGTAGTCTTAAAAATTGTGACTTAACAGAGTGTGTTGACTGCAACAAAGTGAAAGATAGTAGCAGGTGTGAGTAGGTGGTATTAGTGGCCAAATCAAAAATTCATTAACAAACTCACGTCTCTTTGAGGGTCCATAAAGTGTTTTCAATTGCCAACATGCTTTAAAATTGATGGATATTTATTTATTTACCATTAGCTGTCCCTTTCTTCAATTGATTTCAACCTTTTTTAATTACATTTTGAAGGAACAAATGTCCTCTTCTTATTTTAATCAACCAAAGGTCAGAAACTTGTGACTCTTCTTACTTTCTTAGCACTTCAGTAGCCAGTATCCAGCGGCGGCGCGAACAAGCAAAGATAAATAGAGTTTTGTCGGAGGATATAGACATACTTCAGGCCAGAGATTAGCATCATGTTAGGCTTTGTTGCAACAAAGACAGATTTTTAGTGTATTCACAAAATATTTTTCTACTCCAAATGGAATCCTTCAAAACTATGTCACATGAGCTCATACATAGAGTGTCAAGAGGAAGTAAAAACTGAAAAAGTCTCTTAATGCATGTGATTCCTGGGACCTAGGTAGGTAGTCATGGCAGTTAAGCAAAGGATCACATTCTTTTCCCTCAAGTCTCTCTTACATTTCATTCTTTTTGCAATTCCAGATTGACCACGGTCAACGTTTGATCAAGATGACCTCGGATCAGTGATTTAATGATTCCAACAGGTGCATATGTGTGTGTGTGTGTGTGTATACGTGAGTGTGAGTGTGTGTGTATGTGAGAGAAAGAGAGAGAGAAGAAGAAGAGAACAATCCAAGAAGTTTTCTTTCTACAGAGTGGAAGCACAAAAGGGACTTCTTTTGATCAAAGCTACCTATATTGAAGAAAAAGTAAGCCACTAGAAGATGTGTACCACCATTCTGCCTTCCAGCAAGCTAATGTGAACAACTTTCTACGACCGTAGAGAAGAGGAACTCATTAATATATATGAATTTCAACTCAGCTAGAATACTATTATCCACATCATCTCTTAACAAAAAAAATGCATTACAAGATATGAGTTTTTAGTGTTTATGATGAAAACTGAAAGGATGTATCATATTATTGGACAGCAAAACACTCACAGTGGCAAAAAGGGAGGGGAAAGGGTTGGCTTTTTCGATCACATTGAAGGTTGATTCCTCTCTGATAAAAACACTGGAAAGGTTATCTGGCAAAAGGGAAAAAATCTGTTGGAAGAAGGAATATGATCTTCTCCTAGCCTAACCACACAACTGGGTCCAAAGTCATACAATCAACTTGTATCTTTACTCTGGTAGTTTCAAGCGATTGAAGAGTACAAGAAAGCTGTGCTCCGGAATGACATAAAGAAAGCCAAGGTCTGCACCTTTGAGGTGTGGCCCCATTCCCTAAGGAAAATTAACAAAGAAATGAATAGAAACCAGGACCTCTAACTTACACCTTTCAACAAGCTGTCAGGTAGAAAATAAGGCAAAAAAGACATAAGCAAGAATTCCCAGCAGTTTTATTACCTTTCCATTGAGTTGTAGAAGCTCTCCCTCAACCCACCTTGGGTTTTTGAAACCATATTCAGCTATTCTTCCTTGACCCTTGTAACCAGCAAGCTGAAGAAACAAACACTATGAGTCACACCTATAATTCTGGAGCAATCTAAACTGGATCATTTGACTGTTCTAATTCTCGATGCATAGCTGACTCCCCTTATAGCCAAATTAGTTGATGCTAAGTCATGCTAAAACTAGGGCTCACCAAGAAGAGTTGCATTCATCAGTGTAATACAGTATCATGGTTAACAACTAATGCTTTATGGGCACAAAACAAACAAACCATGCATATCGGAAACAGTCTCTCTACCTTCCAAGGTAGGATAGATCTTTGTACAGTGTAAGCACTACCCTCCCCATACACCACTTGTGGGATTACACTGGGTATGTTGTTGTTGTAATAGTAGTAATATTTGTCTCCACTCTCCAAGGCACTCAACAAAAAGAATCTGGGACATCATACCAGTAGAGGTAACGGTCACCATTCACCAAGGCTTAGACGGATGGAAAGAATTCCTTTACTGTCATTTTTCATTGTATCTAAATTTCATACCAAAAAGATTTATGAACAATTTGAAATTTATCACTATGACATCAATTACTGAAAGAGACACGAGCACTTTTGAACGGAGAGTAAAATCATAACCATCAGGAATCATCACCAAGTAGCACATATTGGCTTGCTAGCTCCATCTGCCTATAGCGCTGAAGTAATTTTTGACATATTAAAATGTAGATGGTCTAAAGCAATTTCTCAAGCCTACTATGGAGGTTATTCCTGAGTCTTAAGGGTATGTCATGGACCTTGCCTGCCAAGATCACAGAAGCAATCCAGAGTTGGGAGGAAGTAGGAAAGCAATCCAAGAATAGAGAAATGGAGAATTGTCCCCGCTAGTATATGGTGGGCAATATAGAAGGAAAGGAACTCTACAGCTTTTGATAGTGTTGAAAATAGTATGCAAAAAGTCAAACTAAATTGTATGTTTTTGGTGTATTCAATTATACTCAAATGACACTATCTCCATAACTGATGTACTAGACTCAACTTAGTAAAAGATAGTACTGACTTTTGAGGAATAGACAAAGTTACCAATTTCAAAGAAAAAACAATTTCTCAAACAATGCTGAATCCATTAAACAGTCTTCTTTTAAAATTATGATCACAAAAACTTTAACATTCTCTTCTTTCAAAAACAAAAATAAAAAATCAACATCTTCTATTAATAGAAACTATAAATTTCAGCAAGTATCTCTTAACCGTTCAAGGCAATCAGAGCATGGAACAAATAATAAATAGCATGAAAAGGGGGAAAGTTGAAGATACTAATGGTATTTTTGCTCAACCTGGGAAAGCTAAAACGATGCTAACCACACAACATAAGAAACGTCATTCATAAAAACAATGATCGACCAACTGTTACTTACCACACCAAGTTCATCTGGATACATCCCCCTGTTGGACAAGCGACTTCCTTTACTTATTTTAGCTCGAAATGTCACCTGAAAATCAAAAGCTTTACAATTCATTAGGCTTTCATACAAAAAAACAACCTTCAGAGTGAACAATCGAACCTCGCCAGCAGGCACATTGATATCCCCTGTTAGCTTTACCGCCTCAACATACTCAAAGAACTCCACATTAGAGGATTTTTCAGCATCATTTACATTCCAGTTACCATACTTCCGCCTTAATTGCACTACCTCAGTTCCATAAGGTCCAAATGCACCAACATATAGACCTAGAATTAAGAGAAAAAACTACATTACTGACAAAGTCCCACATATCTAGCTCTCTCACCTAGTTTAGGATTTGATGTTAAAGAGACAAACAAAGCAATAAAGGCATAAAAACACATATTTACATGGAGGTCTAGCAAATATGGGTTTGGGGGGGGGGGGGCATATTTAGCGCGGGACATGGCTGTGTTTGTGTTTATATTTATATTTGTGTTAACAAGAGAGAGAAGTGGTCACAGGGGAATGTCTTACCTTCAAAAGGATCTAAATCCCCAGGAGAGGTTATTCGACTAAAACTTGTGTATTCAGATAATTTGTATCGCTTCTGTGCCTGAGTAACTGCAAGCTTTAGCATCTCCTTAACATCTCTAGAAACCTACAGCAAGTGTAAATTCTA